ATTTTATATTTCTTGTGAATTTTGTCCAAGGTAAGGTAAGGTATATTTACATAGCACTTTTCAGCAGCAAGGCGATCCAAAATGCTTTACATGATTTAAGAAATGATACAAACAAATAAAAGAAAGAAAAGAAAGGCAGAATAATCTAAGACATCATAACGTATTAGGTAAATAAAATAAAAGAGCTATATTTTTGGATGGAGGAGAAATAGTAACCTAAAAAGCATGAAGCTATCTGAAAAACAACAATTGCTTATCAGGGTATTTCTGTGTTTGTTGCATGAGCACGCTTAATATTTATCTGCTTTAAATTTAACATTTAATAACATTGTCCCCTTTAAAAGGTAAAAAAATATATACTTTTTACAGATTCTTCCACTTTAAACTCTAAAATGAGAAGGACAAAAAAATTGCTGCGTTCACTACGACAAAATAACCTGTTTCTTATATTTTGTATGGGTGTTAATCCATGGCACGGTATAAATTTAGGGTATTAAATTAGGCTTCTCTGCATTGAATTAGAATTTATAATGTCATATAGATATTTCTCGTAATTCTCAGTGCATGTCGCTTATAGGGTTTTTATGTCAACCATTTTTGTTGAGAAAGTTTCCTTTATTTAAAAAAGTTGATAAAAGTTGCTAGCCTTTCTAATGCTAACGCCAGCTTAGCCATGCTAGTTATTAGCCTCTCTGATGCTAACGCCAGCTTATCCATGCTAGTTACTAGCCTCTCTGATGCTAACGCCAGCTTATCCATGCTAGTTACTAGCCTCTCTGATGCCAACACAAATGAATTGTCTCATTTCTCATTTTCCAGCTCCAGCCTCTCGGTTAGCGGTGTCAGCCATTAATCAGATCAATAGCTGGTTTAGGAATAGATATAGCCTCCTGCTAAGGATGTAACAACCGCTGGTTGCACAATAGTCTTAATTTTGGCCCTCTTACTGTGCCATATTAAGCATCATTTTGGCTTGAGCCAAGAGGACATTTCTTCTGCTTTCACCAGTCTGGTTTCACAGAAACTGAAGGACTGTGGATGATTTCCTTAACTCTGCTCGGTTGCAGAATTATCCCCTGAAGGCTCCCACAATTATTCATCCAGCGTTCTCGCTGCTCAGACAGGGGCTATATTTAGGCTCCCCAAATTGACCTCAGCGCTGACTGACTCACTCACACACACTCACACCCCCGTTGTCAGTTGCTTGACWTCTCGTTTTTGGTGAAAACACACCAATAATATGTTTATTCCCGTTCAGCAGCTGCAGCAGATCTGTGCTGCTGCTGTCACTGAGAAGAAACAACAACAACAACAACAAAAAAATGTATAAAATAAAAAATCTGAACTGAGAGAAATGATGACTCAGCGGCTAAGTTCAGCGTCTGCTGCCGGGCCTGAGCTGATGCGCCGTCCAAAAAGCTTTTGTTTCAACAGAGTCAGAGTTCTCGTGAGGTTACATGTGACAGCATCAGACAAAAACAGCTTCACGCYATGAAAATCTGCACACATGTGGCTCCCAGACTTTTTAAAAACACAGGAATAAATGTTGGTCACATAAAAACTGAATTAATCATCTTTTCATGACTTTGTAGAATCAGAACAGGTTACGTTCCATTTATGTGCTTCAGCTCTCTGCACCTTGATAATGCATCTAGTGGGTCCTAATGCGTAAACTGTGTCCACCACAGAGATCAACAGCCTGAGAATATCCTAAAGATGAGAAATGAATGAATATTTATGTCTTGATGGACCTTTTACAGGGTGAGTGTGTCAGCTGGGAAAACCCTGAACNAGCTACAGGTCCCAAAAGCAACTGTGCAGACAATTATACGCAAGTATAAAGTGCATGGAACAGTTGTGTCACTGCCACGATCAGGAAGAAAACGCAAGCTATCACATGCTGCC